TCCATTTTGACCTTTTCCTTCTTTCTTGTCTTCTTAATGACTTTTTGCTTTCTTCCTGTATGACATTCTTGATGTCATCCCATAACTCTTCTGGTCTTTTGTCTTTAGTGTTTAACGTATCAAATATGTTCTTCAGAGGATCTCTAAAGTCAGGTGGGATATATTCAAGGTCGTATTTTGGCTTTCATGTACTTGTTTTCATTTTCTTCAGCTTCAGTTTGAATTTGCATATGAGCAATTGATGGTCTGTTTCACAATCTGCCCCTGGCCTTGTTTTGACTGATGATATGGAGCTTTTCCATGTTACGGTTTAGAAGGATAGAAATTGTGAGAAACATTTTCCATGTATAATATAACAACATGGTTACTAGAAGTTCATTTAATGATTACCGTTAGTAGGCATAAAAGATACTTACATTCTGGAGTCAGATAAGCTCCAGCTATTAGGAATAATAGGGGGAAGAGGAAAATCTAGTCATTTTAATAATGTAGATTTTAGAAGTCCAGGTTAAATGTTCTTCCCCGTAGGCAAGTGAAGAAGGCTCTGAAGACTGAGTTTTGATCTTAGCAAGTTTTAACTTTCTCACCACAGTTGTTCTTTCACACCGTGGTTTAAGAGTATGCTTTAGTGTGGGGAGTTTCATGTCTAGGCTTTTAGCACTTTTTGTGCACCATAGGAGTGAATCATGTCCAATATCTGTATAAGAGTGCTCATGCTGTGAATAGTAAAATAATTTTTAAAAAATCCAAACTGTAAGAACAAAGTTTCAGTGTTCAAAGAAGTTCATTAGTCTAAAGTAATACTGTAGTTGTTAAGTGCTGTTGAGTTGGTTGTGTCTCATAGCAACCATGTATAGCGTTTCCAAGAAGTGGCTGGTGAGTTTGAACCGCCAACCTTGTGGTTCAAACCGATCTTGTGGTCTAATGCTTACCCTACAGCTCCACACCAGGACTTCAGTCTAAAGCAATATTTACAATGTTTTTCTGGCAGCAAATAGTGCCTATCATAATTCACCGTTTCTCAATTTTTTTCTTATGGACATAGATTTATTATGTGGAACTTTGCACAGATCATGGTTGCTTAACAATGTGGCTTAGCTAAACCTGAATGTCATCCAGAGAAAACGGTATGTTTTGTAGCAAACTTATCCCTAGCCATGCCATTTCCCCTAAATTTGGTTAAATTTTAGTTACATTTTTGAGATATTTCATAATGATATTAAAGAAGAACACTGGAAAAAAATTTTTAATCCAGAGTCTCTCTTTTGCTTATTTTTAATTGAAAATGACCATGTGTTTATCCAGCGATTTAATAGCAGCATCTTTTAAAAATCCAGGATTGTATTTCGCCCTTCTCCCAGGAACAGATGACAGTACATTGCCAGACCTTTTAAAGGACTTTCTCCTTCACTATAAAAGGTGTTCTTATCCTGGTGTGGCGCTGTGGGTTTATGCGCTGGACTGCAAAGTCAGTTTGAACCGCAAAGTTGGTGGTTCAAGCTCAGCAGCCACTCCTCAAAAACCCTATGCAGGGTCACTATGGGTCGGAACAGACTCCATGGAACTTAACAAGCAAAAGCACGACAAGCTTTTATGAGATTTGGTTTGCTCTGGGTGCTGATCAAGGGTGCAAACATTAGGAAGTGAGTTGTTGTTAAGTGCTGTCGAGTCAGTTCCAACTCACTGTGACCTTATATAGGGCTTCCGAGGAGCAGCTGGAGAGCTTGAATTGCCAAGCTTGTGGTTGAAATCGACTTTGCAGCTCAACACATTAACCCACAGCACCACACCAGGAATCCCAGGAAGTGAGTTGTTGCTGTTGTTAAGTGTCGTCGAGTTGATTCCAACCCATAGCAACCCTGTATAGGGTTTCCAAGGAGCAGCTGGTGAGCTTGAACTGCCGACCTTGCAGTTCAAATGACGTCAGTCTGGAAGTGAGCACAAGTGGATAAATCAGGCATCAGAACCCCAATCACTTTCCAAGGACACTGACAAAAATTTGCATTGAGTTAACAACTCTTACTTTCTCTTTTCAAATATATGTGCATTCTAGAATGTATTTTGTTTTTCATAAAGGAGAATTGGAATCCCAAGCTACTCTGCATGATAGCTTGCAAGAAATTCCTACAAAATTGTTGTTTTCTAGGATGCCAAAGTCAGAATTATTATTTTTATTGCTTATGTAAGTAAAGTGCTTTAAGTTGTTTCCAATATTCTCTGTACATTGTAACTTATATATTTTTATGTCTTACATTTGTGAGGAAGTGAGATAAGTCTTCAGGTTAGACCTGAAGAAAAAAGCTCAGAAGGACTAAATAATTTGCCCTAGGTTACACAGCAAGGAGCTCTGGTAGTATAGTGGTTACCAATTGGGCTACTAACCTCAAGGTTGGCAGTTAGATACTACTAGCTTTTCCATGGGAGAAAGATGAGGCTTTCTGCTCCTGTAAAAAGATTTGCAGCCATGGAAACCCTGTGCAGAGTCACTATGAGTTGGAACTGACTCCACGGTACTTAACAACAACAACAACGCAGCATACAAGGAGTGTAGCTCTCTAATCCCAAACAAGTCCTTGGACTTCCATTTTCTTATCCACAAAACAAGACTAATGACATCCACTGTGTACTGTGGGATATCTTTGGGTTTTGAACCACAAGGTTGGTAGTTCAATTGCACCAGCAGCTCTGAGGGAGAAAGATGAGGGTGGCTGCTCCCATAAAGAGTTAGAGTTTTGGAAAATCTAAGGAGTCATTCCACTGTGTCCTTTAGGGTCACTGTGAATTGGAATAGAGTCTGTGGCAGTGGGTTTTTACACAGCATACAACCTGCACCAAACACTTGCCTGACCTGAAATACCTTGCATGCTAATAGAGATACTGCCAGAGCACAGCATTTGATAAGCAGCCTCATTTCACTACTCACGGATGTGGCAACCGTGAAGCGTTCGGTATAGTAAATAAACAGAATGAACATATTCTCTGAACAGTCATTTCCTGCCAGAGAGAGCAAGGGGTGAGAAGAGAAGCCAGGTGAAGAAAAGCCACAAACTATATCAACTGAACTTGTTAGTTCCACCAAATGTCCCTGTGCATTTTCAAGTCACTTTGTCACTGCTGATGTGCGGTGGACGGATCCCTCCCCTGTTGCTTTTTTCAAGTTGTAATGGGGCTATAATGATGCCGGACCAAAGAAAACCAATCCCATTGTCATCGAGTTGATTTCATCTCATGCCAAGTCCGGGTTTTACACGTAGAATTGTGCTTGATAGGGTTTTCTTGACTATAATCCTTGTGGCAGCAGTTTGCCAAGCCTTTCTTCCTTAGAGCCGATGAATGGGTTCAGAGGCCACCCTTCAGTTTAGCAACTGATTGCAAAACTAGTTGTACCCTGAGTTCCTTACCAGAGCACAGTGACATTGGAAAAATAAGGAAGAGATTTCATGATATGCAGAAGTGATCTGAACTATTAGGAAGACATGCAATACACAACAGACAAGCTTCATTTTTTTCTGGGCAGGTAGAGAGTAAGCCATGCTCAAAAACATCTCTTAGATGTTTATTGCTATGTATAATAAGGACTAATATCTATATGGCTTTTTACCAGTTGCAAAGCATTTTCAGCTATGTTTCCAGGGAGGTGAATGTCATTAGTCTTGCTTTGTGGATAAGAAAATGGAAATTCAAGGACTTGCTTGGGATTAGAGAGCTAGCAGGTGGCAGAGCCACGTCTTAAACCCTTATGTTCTGCCTCAGGGCTATATGCTCCTTTCCATCCGGTTACCTTCTCGCCCAGCTTTGAGCAATCCCAGGGGCTTCTGTGATTTAAGAGGCAAACAGGCTGTGCAGAAGGGAAAACGGATTTAGCCATATACACTGCAATTAGGCATGGGTGAGATTTAGTTCAATTGGGAGGACAGTCTCATAACTCTTTCTTGTAGCTGACCTGGAAAATTCTGAGAACCATGTTGGTTTATAGTAACAAGTTATTTGGTTTTTGGCTTCAGACTGATGCACTAGTTAATAGTATCATTTGTTATTGTGTTCAGGTTCCTGGATTTGAGAACAGTGGGCTGTGTAACATGATGAGCTCTGTGGCCTAATTTATTTCTGGGTGTTGGTTTTTGTTCTGTTGAGTCTGCTGCGTGGACAGTGTGTTTGGTTTGGATGACTTCAGTAACAGTTGTACTGGGCCAGGCAAGTGCAAGTCTGTGCTCAGCCCAGGACTGATTGGCCTCATGGGTTTGGGGTGTTAGTTAGGTTGCAATTCACTATCCTCATTAGCTATACCTAGAGATGTTTTTGAGCACAGAGTTTTGTTTCCTGTATTCCTCCTCTTGTGTTCTGTAAGGAGACCTTTATAGAATAGCCACCCTTGAAACTCTAACGGTCATATGTGTGGTTCTTCCCCATGGGCTGAACGGATTTCTGTTTTCCAATAGCACAGATATCTGCCTTGTCTTTTGTCTTGTTATTTGGGTAAGAGCAAAGTCAAAGTATAGCCTATGGGGCTGTGCCAGTTTTTAACCTGCTGATTACTGGTTCAGGAAAGATGACGATAGAAAAATTTAGAGTAAGGGTTCTGAAAATGTTACAGCAATTTAGCATTGTTCTATAGTAATTATGTGTTGGGCTGCTAACATCTGCTCTACAAGAGAAAGATGAGGCTGTTGGCACCTATAAAGATTTACAGTCTTGGAAACCCTATATAGAGTTGCTATAATTCATGATTGACTTGATGGCAGTGGGTGGGATCTATGGTATTTTCTTTTATGAAATGTAATCTAACGTCCCATGTCCCATCTGTGGTGGCTTACATGTTGCTGTAATACTGGAACACAGTATTTCAAATACCAGAAGAGTCACTCAACAGTAGACAGGATTCAGTGGAGCTTCCAGACTAAAACAGACTGGGAAGACAAGTCTGACATCAGAACAGGCAATTATAGGAGACCAACAAGACAACATTTTCTCCCAAAGCAAACATGAGAAGACAGGGGACGGGGAACCTGGTCATGAAAATGGGGAACCAGGGAGGAAATAGGAGAGTTCTGACACATTTCAGGTATTGTAAATAATGTCACAAAACATTTTGTATGTGAACTATTGATTGGGAAAATGAATTTGCTATGTAAACTTTCACCTAACACACAATAAAATGTTTTAAAAAAATAAAGATCTACTTTTGAGAAAATTAACCAGTGAAAACCTTATGAATCACAACAGATTATGGCTGATATCATGCTGAAAGATGAGGCCTTTAGGTTGAAAAGCAGAGTGACCTCCACAATGGACTCAAGCCTGCCACTGGCTGTGTAGGTAACATAGGACTGGGCAGTGTTGCATTCTGTTGAACATGGGTCACCATGAGTCAGAGTTGACTCAATGGCAACTAGCAATGAACAATCGGATGTCTGTTCAAGTTGATCATAAAAATTGGGAATCTATTTTGTATGCCTCTGTTTTTATGTAGCTTAGTATT